TCATTATTTTACATCCTTTATTTTGTGAGTTCCTTGACTGATTTTTCACAGAAATATTTGATTTTAGTGCTTTTGTGTTTTCTACCTTCATGCTATAATTTTTGGTCTTTCCTTTCCACTCCAAGTTCCCTTTAATATTTCTTGCAGGGTTGTTTTAGTTGTTGTGAGCTCCTTTAGTTTTTGTTTTGTTTGGGAAACTCCATCTCCTTCTATTCTGAATAATAGCCTTGCTAGATAGAGTATGCTTGGCTGCCATTTTTCCCATTCAGTACATTGAATATATCATGGTACTCCTTTCTGGGTTGGAAAGTTTGTGCTGAAAAATCCACTGACAGCTTTATGGGGTTTTCTTTGTATATAACTGCCTTCCTTGTCATTTTTAATATATTTTCATTATCACTGTATTCTTCTGTTTTAATTACAATATGTCTTTGTGTGAATCTGCTTTTGGTGGGGTTTCTCTGTGCCTTCTGGATATATTTCCTTCCCCAGTTTAGGGAAGTTTCATGCTATTTCTTCAAATAAATTCTCTGCCCCCTTTTCTCTTTCTTCTGACTCCTATAATATGAATGTTATTATATTTGATGGAGTCACTGAGTTCCCTACGTCTGTTCCTGTTTTGCAGGATTCTTTTTTTCCCCTGTTTTGTTCAGCTTGATTACTTTCCATTATTCTGTCTTCTAGGTCATTAATTCTCATGCTTCTAGCCTGCTGTTCATTCCATCAAGCGTGTTTCTCACTTTGTTTATTGAGCTCTTTATCTCTGCTTTGTTACTCCTTATCTCTGTGTTAATGGTCTCACTGATGTCCTCCACTCTTTTCTCAAGTCCAGTGAGTATTCTTATGGTCATTGCTTTAAATTCTTTATTAGGCATGTTACTGTATCTGTTTCACTTAGATCTCTGGCCATGGCCTTGTTCTTTCATTCTGGACAAATTCCTCTATCTTCTCATTTTGTCGAAGTCTCTCTGCCAGTTTCTCTGTGTTAGAAAAGTTAGCTATGTCTCCTGTTCCTGAGGGTAATGGCTTTATGAAGAAGAGGTCCTACATGTAGTGCCCTGCAGTGTAGTGTCCCGTTCCCCAAGGCCTAGCACTTCTGGGAGTGGTCTCCAATGTGTCCTGGCCTCTTTATGCTTCAGACTAGTCATTTGCTGAGGCTCTCCTTGCCTGTTGTGGGCAGTGTTTGGTCTCTAGTCTGTATGTGGCACATTTTACCTAGGTGTGCTGTGGTCTGCATGTAATGAGAACTCTCACTGCTGCCACTGGAACTGAGGCCTCAAAACCTGCAAATCAGGAGATGCAGTGTTGGCAGGAGTTTGGGGCAGTCTTCTGGGGGAGGGGACCTACTATCCTAGGACTGAAGCAAGCATGAATGGGCAGGGCTTGGTGTAAATGAGTTGAGTGTTCACGTTGTGCTGGTTCCCACAGATGGCTCTGCTTTTATGCTGATGGGTGGGGGAGGGAAATGGCACCTGCCAGTTCCTATGGTCCTGGAGGGGTCTCTCTGGGACACACTACCAGATGAGCAGATAACCTCCCCACTGTTTGCTCTATGTGCTCTTCACATTCCTGTTTCCATGCTGTAAGTCCACAGGCTGTGGCTGCTCTTGGAGAGAAGGCAGGCAATGTCCTCCAAGCTCTCCCTGAGCCAAGCATGGTGACCTTTAAAACTCCAGGCTTTAAGCACCACTGATTACAAGAAGTCACAGAATATGAGCCCTCCTGCTTTCCAAGCCAATTGCTATAGGGATGTTTTCCTTGTATGCTCCCCTGTATGCTAGTCTATCTTTTGCCCTTCTCTGTGACCATGGCTCCCTCCCCACTGCTGTTGCCACAGTCCATTTCTCTCCCAAGCCACATCTCTATCTGTCCTATCTTGATTGCTATGGTCTTTTCTCTATCTTTACTTGTGGAGTTTGTTCTGCCAGTCTTCAGATAGATTTCTGGGGTATTTAGGATGATAGGATAGTTATCTAGTTGTATTTGTGGAATGAGGCAAACCTAAGATCCTCTTATTCAGCTGCCATCTTCCCCTCCTTCTATAAGTAGGCCTCTATCACAGAAAGACTGAGGGTAGTAGTCAGCCAAGAACTGGCTCTCCATTTGTTACAGTCCCATAGGGCCCAGGCTCTCAAGCCTGATAGCCACCAGAGCCAGGTGATCAAGAGGCAGCCATAAAAACTAGAGCATCAGACTTGTGTAACAGCTCCCTTCCAGGAGATATGGGTGCCTTGGAGTGTAGCAGAGGAAGGATGCAAAGATGGTAAGCACTGGCCCCCATCCTCACAGTGTACTCCAGCAGGCCCCTTGCTCTTTTGAGAGGTCTGCCCTTCAGATTGCTGCTTTAAGTTAACAAGCTTCTTTCACAGAAAGTCTGGACCCCTTTCAAAGGGCTGACTTTGTGCAGGCAGGTAAGTCCATGGGCAAGGCCTTTAAGAACCATTTCTCAGTTTGCTATAGCCTTGTGGGTCTCACGAACATGAGCCCCATTGGCTTTCAAAGCTAGATATCTGGGGAGCTGGTCCCTCCAGTGCCTGTCTTAAAAATGTGGGGTTCAAACTCTTTGCTCCTCAGAGAGAAGCTTTTGAGTTCCCTTCCAACTGTGGGGTTTGTGGTGAGATTGTGTCTCAGCCTTTCCTACTTGCTTAGATGTCAGTTTTTTCTTGTTTGCTGTGTATTTTTTTTTTCCTTCCCCCTGCCAAGGGAATTGTTGCATATGTAGCTGGACGTGCGTTCAGAATCTTCCTACATCACCACTTTGAACGAGCCTCTTCATGCTTAACTTGTTTAAAGCACTTCAAGCCCAGTATCTTTCCTGTCTCTTGAACACTTCCTCAACCACTTAGTGACCTTAAGCATGAACTCCCCAGATGTAATTTGTAAAACAGTCAGAATATGGAAGAGATTTCAACTCGAGAAATACTGAAGAAGCTTCTGTCTTTTAGGCACTGCTAGGTGCTGAGTGAGGTAGGAGAAAATAATCATCTGCACCCACAGGAAATTAAAGTAGTAAAATTAGTTGGTAAGCTCTGTAAAGCAGATGCTGTTATTTCATCCTTGTGTGCCTAGCACCATACTCAAAATAGTGAATCTGCATAACATGGAACTAAAGTATTTCCAAGAATAAGGGTGGTGGGGGGCGGGTGGATGATGATGGTTACATGGGACTCAGAAGCCACCTGAGAACTGAAGGAATGGAGGCATGAACAGAGCAGATGATGTGTGACAGTGGTTCAGCTAGGACTTCAGGTCCCAGGTGACTCTGTCATTGCCCTTCCAGGTCCTGTGATCCTTCCACCAGGGGGCCTGTACTTACCAGCTTTATCTTCCTGATGGGATAAGGGCCTCCATGATAATTTGTTGGCTGTTGATCTTCTCTGTGGGCAAATGCACACACAACATTTAAATGCAATTCTAGGAGGTTTTCAAGCAGGATCATTCCCTGGAGCTGCCCCATCCTCCTAGCAGCCTTCCTCTCTTAGGTATAGGCTATGTTTCATTGTACTTTGCTGGATCACAGCCTCAGTGACCTGCTGTTTATAAATAATGCAGGAGATGGACAGAGTTCTTAAGTGGTTCCTGGGCCAGATGATGCAGGAGGTGACTCTCTTCCCTCTTTTGCCTTTTCCGTTCAAAGGTTATACCCTGAGGGATTGGGTTCTTTTAGAAACTTACCCTGGTTGGGATTTAAAATCTATTTTCAATAACACGAACTTGGATTTCCTTTCCCTGGGACTTGGCAGGGCCCTTCTGGTGCAGCCCTCCACCAACTTCTTCTGTCCCTGGTGCCCCTTGTGTTGAGCTAGTGGTAGGCTGGAGGGTTCTGCAGTGCCACCCTTTTGTCCAGCCACATTGCATTTTTCTCCCAAAATGACTAATGACCTAAGTGGAACCCTTCATACTTTACCCTGTTCTCTGACATCTGCAAAAACAAAACTATGGTTGGTCAAATGAGGAAACATGTCCTAGAGGTATACCCAAAGTCACACCCCAAATATGTAGCAGAGCTCAAACACAGTTCTTGTCACCAAATTCTAGGTTCTACTCTTTTTTGGTGGGGAAATTTGTATTTAGGATTTAGCCGGCTAGATTGTTTAGATGATCCCAATTTTGTTGGCAACATCCAAAGCTTCATAGTCAGGAGCCAGTTGAACATATGCCACCTTTTTCCTATCAGGCCTGATCAGGGTGTTGACCTTGGCTATGTCCGTATCACAGAGCTTCTTCACAGTCTTGTTTGATCTGGTGCTTGCTGGTCTTGACATCCACAGTGAATACAAGTGTGTTGTCTTCTGTTTTCTTCATGGCTGACTTGGTAGTCAGGGGTAACTTAATGATGGCATAGTGGTCAAGCTAGTTTAGTTTCTCCGGGGGTGCACTCTTTTGAGGATATTTGGGCTGTCTTCAGACACAGTGTCTCGGGCTGTCAAAAAGTAGTTGACATGTGGGGGCGCCTAGGTGGCTCAGTCAGTTGAGCCTTCAGATCGGGTAATGATCTTGGGATCGAGCCCTGTGTCAGGCTCCCTGCTCAGCAAGGAGCCTGCTTCTCCCTTTCTCTCTCCCTCTCAAATGAATAAATCTTAAAAAAAATAGGTGACATATGGATTTTTTTTTTTTTTTTTTTGGTGACTGTGGATGCTTTTCAGCATTGCTTTCTTGACCTTCAAAGCCTTTGCTTTGACTTTGGGAGGGGCAGGGGCTTCCTTCTTTGCCATCCTCAGGAAAAGGTAGGTTCTACTTTTCAATATGATTTGCTTTTCCTTGAGTCTGTACAGTTCTTCTTGATTGGCAAATTGAATGTTAAGGACTATCCTCTAGTGAACACAGAGCTGGTTACCTGTTTTCTAAAAGGCCTTTGCTGCCTGTTTAGCACCATTCATTCATTTATTCAGTCATTACTGAGCATGTCCTCTGCCTCACTGCTGGGAGAGCACTAACGTGTAAATTAGATACAATTCAGATGATCCCATCTGGATTTTTTTGTTTTTTGTCTCCTGCAGAAATGCCAGATAATGCAGCAGCGCTGCTGGGTGCTTGCTGTAAACTCCAGATTATTCCTACACTGTGTCATTTGGTAAGGAACCTCTCAGTGGGGATCTGGGAATGGGCACCTAACAATTGATAAAACACCTTTAGGATTTTTCATCTACAATAGCTCTTCAAAATAGGTTAAACAGGTATTATTACTAACCCCACTTTTTTACACACCATCCACATCATACCACACATTCTACCCTACAGGAAGACTGAGGCTGAGAGGAAAAGCATTTGTACAGAGAACTTGCTTACAGGGCTAGGATCCAACCTTGTCATTAGCTTCCAAATCTCCAGCTTTCCCCACTGGAGATAATTTTGGCCAAAGTTTGGTTGTAACACTGCAGGGAAGGAGCCTGACACGCTGTTATTTACAATGGCAGTGCTAGGGCTATAGACCAGTTTGATTCAGCTCTGCATCTAATTCACCAGGGAGGCATTTGAGAGGACTGCTTTGTCTCAGATCATTTGCTTTGTGCCCTAAGGAAATTTCATGGCGGGGAGCAAGAGTTAGGTAATGATGAGCTTAGCCCTAGAGAGTTAAGATTAAGCTTTTCCTTTTTTAAATTACAAACTGGGTCATTAATAGAAGGAGCCATCAATAGGCTGTGCAGAAGCCACTCCAATGGGGCAGGTGTTGCTCAGCCTGGGGCATAGTAGCTGAACACACCTGGCTGGATTATTTTAAGGTCTGGTTAGTTACTAAGAGCCCAGACCAAGATGCTATGTAGGCTCAAAAGACCAAAGGTCAGTGCTCTGCTCCCAGATCTAGGAAGCAGGTCTTGAGATTAAGTGCCTGGCCAGGATCCTGAAATTTGTTACCCATCCGCTGCGGGAGCTTGAACACCATGCTTAGGGCCTTGGGTACTTCTGTGCATAGCAAAGACATCTGAACAGGGCATCATTCCAAGGAGCAGTTTAGAACCCATTCACAACTGAAAGTAGATTCTACCCACCCAGAAGAATGCTGAGTTCTTACACTTTGATCACTAAACCTGAACTACTTGAAAACATGACAGCAGGTATGTTCTGTCTGGTGGTGTAGTTGGGTTATGGAGATAAGTACCATTACCTAATTGTGTGCAGTGATGAGCACGGCAGTAGCTCTGCTTTCATAGCTCAGCTCTCTGTTGCAGTAACTGAGTGCTTAGCATCTCCCAGGTTACCCTTAGTAAAGATTTACAAAATCATCAAAATACTGCAAGACCACATTAGCTAATTCCCTCTCCCAACAAACTCACGCTTGTCATCTTCCTTGCAGTAAGCGTTAGATTTGATCTTTGTGTTCCTTCCAAGTTCTGTTTTGTTGGTCTGAGCGTAGCCAGGAGGACACATTGGGAGTTCCAGGATGGCTGGCATTCTACACGGGCACAAAACTACCCACCCACAGTGTCATTTGTCTGCTTTCTGGGGGCTGCTTAACATAAAAAAAACTTTAAACAATATCTTCACATAATCTGCCCTAGATATTGCAACCAATGAGGCTCCTGCCTCCTGAAGGAATTTGGGTGTCGAGTTACTTACAGGGATTTACTTAGAACAGGGTACAGAAATGTACCTGCATTCCTATCTTCTCTTGTGGCCAGAGTAACTTTGAGAGACTTTCAGAAGAATAGGATCAGATAGAATCATCAGTAGAGACTGTAACTTTTGCCCCACCACCCTTTGGGTGACTGTAATCTTTTATACCTAGAAGTGCCTCTGGGCACTTGGGGCTGGCAGCTGTTCAGGGAAGGAAACTGGATGCTGCTCAGACCCCAGACACAGAGCCCGCTGAGGGCAGCCTGGGCCAGTGGAGTTCATTCTTACATTACTGGAATGTGGTGCTTCTGCTCAAAGAGTAGGCCTAATCTACTTTCTAAAGCAAAATTGAGTTTATGGTCTTAGCCAAGGGCTGCTCTTAAGCCTGTGGTTAACACTGTGTGAGTGGTAGTTGGTCAGTCTACACGGTGTGGATTTGTTAAGGCTTATTTTGATAATAGACACACAAGTACTTTTACAGTCAAATGAGTGCTGCCCTTCGGACACTGGGGCAAGCTTTTAGTAAGGTTATCATTGCTCAGGACGTTTCTGGAAATCTCTTGGATTCTCTTCTGATTCAGTTAAAATTCACACATACTTTATAGGTTTCATTTTTTACTTTTACTTTACTTTCTACATTGATCTGGTTTTGAATGCCTGGTAAAAATCAAATCAACTAATCTTTGTAATTACTGAAGCTAAAATTACTGAAGCTAAAAAAAAAAAAATATTAGAGCAGCATCTGAAATGACCTCTCTGAAGAGCTAACATTTATTCAACACATTGACGGCCTATGTTTTATGACAGACTGGGGCCCTGTTCTAAAAAGCTTAGGTTTTAGAAAACAGACTAAACAGTGACTATCAAGAGGATAATTTCAGAAAGACAGTAGAGTAATAGTGGTTGGGATATGGGGGTGGGAGGGGTAGGAAAGGCCCTTCTGATGAGGTATTTCAGTGGACAATGAGAGATGAGAAGAAAAGGTTTACATGGAGCTCTGGAAGAAGAGTGTCCCAGGTAGGAATAGCAAGGGCAAAGGTTCTTGAGGCAGGAAGCATAACTGAACTGTGGTACCTATCCCTTTGAGGATATCAACCAACTATTTAAGAAATTCTAATATCATTAAAATAAAAAAATCAAACCATACATACTGTGTGTAGGGAAAGTTACATTCTGAACTTTCTCATCTCCTGAAGTTAAGGGATCTAGTAGAAGGTAGAATTCAGAGTGGAGATTCAGTCAGAACTCCAGGCAAATTGGAAAAATCAGGCGTAAGGTCCTGGCCTGGGAGAAACAGATCTTGTTACATCTTAAGGGTTTTTCTGTACCACTTGGGGAATTTAAAAAGCAGTAACAATTTAATTTTTCCCCATAATCATCTAGAAGTATATTACTATTCACCTATGTGGTTTTTCTGTAACATTTTTAAATGAATTTGCTTAAATGTGTCATTTCAGCTCTGTGCTCTCTCTGATGATGGAGTATCTGATCTTGAAAATCCAGACTTGGCTCCTCTGAAGGATATGGAAAGGTTTATGATTGTGCAGCGTTTGTTTGCCTTAGCCAACATGAACCTGGAGAGACTGCAGTCATCTGTGAAAATTGTCACCCAGAAGGACCCTAACATTTTCCCACTAATTCTTTATATAAGCCTGAACGGACTCCGTGCTTTAGGCAGAGCACATTAATAACATCATATGTGAATTACAAGTACATATTATCAGCCAAGGCTGGGTATTTTTCAGCATTGTTAAGATACTACTGAGTTTAGCCACCAGGTACTCTGTAAACAGTTTTTCATAAAAGGCCTGTGCTAATGACCCAGTGTCTAAGTTAGATTTTAGCATCTGAAGAGTTAGAGGAGGGTTGAGAATTCTAAGCTAGTGTACAGACTTTTTTCTTCAGAAAAAAATTGGTCCACCTCTCTTTTTCTGCTATACAAAAACAGATGAGTCTGGTTTTGATCCAAAAATTCATTTTAAATTGTGAATGCCACAGGAAGACAATTTATAGAAGAGTCTCTGTTTTAGATGTACTGATTGATTGACAAATGAACTGTAAGTGCCATTATAGTACATATATTCTGCTAAACAAAATTAGCAGGATACCCTTCCTTAGGGGTCTAGCTATAGACATTTTTTTTGTTATGCTTTAATGAGCGTACCAATTCTATGTCAAGAACAATGCTGATTTCCCATGCATTGATTTTTAATTTATAAAATACCACATACTGTATCAAAGGAAACAACTTTGAAATTCTTCTATAAAGAACTTGGACTCTCTCTAGTGCCTCTTATTCCATTGCCACTAACCACTGGGGAGCTGAAACCACTTTTCCTTAGCAAAAAGTAGCTAAGACTTCCTCCTAGAATTTGTCTTACTTTAGGAGCAGGGAGGATAAGAAGTAGCAGCTGTTGAAAGAGAAACGTGTTACTCAGCATTTTTTTTTTTTAACCTCATCTATTCCTTTTTCTGCTCTTCAGATTTTAAGGAATCTTAACACGGAAGAAATGAAGCAAAATAACCCTTTCATCACCTCAATTAAAAATGAGACTAAATCTTACGCAAATACTTCCAATACATGAAAAAAAGGAGAGTTGTGCACTGTGTGGCAACATAAAGAGCACCTTATAACAAACTGGAAAGGAATCTGCCAAAGTGAAAATAGCTGTGCTACAACAGTGGCACTGTACATGCCTTTCTGTAAGAAGAATCTATCTGTGTAAACACACATGTATCACAATGCAGTGGGAAGTTCCTTTGAGTCCACAAGAAACTGGACAGTGGTTCCTTTGGGGATAAGAGGTTGGGGGTGGGTTACCCTTCTAGTCCCTTATAATTTTATATGTATTAACCTCTAAATGAAAAACAACCAAGCAAAGCCAAGCCAAAAAAACCCAAAAGCAACAAAAACTAAAGATCAGCTTCAGGCAGAAAGAAAAGACACCAGTCCAGCACATGCCAAAAGTTTGGGTTACATCAAACAGGCAACTAAGGCATCTGGCCCTTTCCACAATTATCAGCCAGTTACCCTGTTAGACTGTTTTAAAAATCTGCAATTAAAAAAGGATGTAGCCTTATGCGGCTACAGGTGATCCCAGCCCCCCAAGTTATTGCCACTCCTTAGCAGACCCCACTGTGATGTGGTGGGCAGAGTAGGGCTGGGCATGTTTGAGTGGGCCTCCAAAAGGCTCTTCTAAGTAACTGGTATCCTCATCACTATATACGATTATTAATTGTAAGTGTACATTTACATTTGTAAACAAGTTCTGGTAGACCAGATACCTAGAAAACAAGATAGAAAATAGAATATTTCTCAGAACAACGGAAGTGGAAAGCCACCTTCACTCAGATGTTTCCATGACTACTTGTCTTTCACAAGTGGTGCAGGAAGAAACATTTCTATTAGCTAGTGTGCTGTGGCCCTATCAGGGTTCCTCAGGTATCCATGGGACCTGTGAACATGTTACCTTATGTGCCAAGAAGGGACTTTATATGTGTTCTTCAGGTGACAGACCTTGAGATGGAGATTATCCTGGATTATCTGATAGGGCCCTTAGAAGGCAGAAGAGTCAGTGAGAGACTTGGCCAAAGAAAATGCAGGAAAGATGAGGCATAGGAAGGATTCAGTGCTGTTGCTGGCTCTGAGACGGAGGTCAGTTCCAGAACAAGAGTGCAGTCCAATGTGACAGCCAGTAAGGAAGCGGGGACCTCAGTTCTACACCAGCATGGAACTGTAATCTGCCAACAGCCTGCAGGAGCCTGGAAGCAGATTCTCTTTCCAGCAGTGAGAGCCAGGGCAGGCCCTGGGAAATGTCTCAATTTCACTTAGGTGAGACCTGTATTGGATTTCCAACCTACAGAACTGAGTTTGTGTTCAAAGTTGTGAAGTTTGTGGTAATTTTTTACTGCAGTGAGAGAAAACAGGGTAAGAAGAAAGTGAACAATCTAAAACCAAATTCTTTGGGAGACATGAGAAGTACACTAGACTAGCCATTTCTGAAGTACGAGGCATGAAATCCCAGAAACTTGGCTTGAGAACGAGTTGCAAAGTACCTGTTGTGGACACCGGCTTCCCACACTCACCCACAGTCACGCCTCCACCTCTTGACCAGTCTGGTGGATCCACCTCCCTTTTCCATTGCAGGCCTCAGGGCTGAGCTGTGCCCCAGCAGGTGCTGTCTTTCCCACCTGGGATTTTCCTGCTTGGCTAGCTCGTCTTAGCATCTCATGTCATCTAAGCACAGAGGCCTTTTCTTGATCCTATAATTTAATCTTCCCTGTCTCTGCCATTTTTTCCTTGAGTACGTCACCTTTGAAAGCCACCAAATGGCTTGGGCTGGGATAGAGGAAACAATAGTTAGGGTTTCCTTGTTAAAGAAGAGAAGCAGGTGAAAAATTTACATATTTATTTTGGTGGGAAAAACTAAATGTTATTACAGGCTTTCTGTAAAGATTATTGGCATTTAAAAGAAATTACCAAAGCTAATCTGATATACTCTGTATTTTATCATCTCTAAACCTTACTTCTACCTATAAATGAAACACTACATTTTTGCAATATTTTTATATGTACAAAAATATTTTACTTGGAATATACAATCTCATGTTCAACATTTCAATAATGTTTGTTTTGGACAGCATATGGAAATATGCGAAAAGAAAAATTTATAGGGACAGTTTCTGAAAAATCAATAATTGTACTGCAGGAAAATTTTATTTATACAAAGGCAGCAGTAATGTTTCTTTATACAGGAACTAGTAATACAATTACTTGGAAAGCAGTAGCAATTAAATTTTATTTTTAAACTTTTTCATCAGAAACTTAACTTCAGCAGCTTGTTCAGCTTTTATTTTTAGATTGCTAACAAGCATTTTGCCCTCCATTAAAAAAAAAAGTTCTACAATTATTTCAAAGACTAGAGGTTAAAAAGAGCATGCATTTGTGTTCAAAATAAAGATATACCAAACTGAAATGGAAAAAAAAAATCTCCAAAGCAAGGTTTTCACATCAAATACTCACCATGGGCTCTAAAACAACTCAACTTGCAGAAAACTACACTTGTTGCCAAACCCTAGTGCTCATTCTTCTCCAGCAAAACCCTAGATCCCACTTCCTTAAAAATCAATGTTACCAAAGAAACAGGAGTCCGTTCTTTCTAAAAGAGGACACATAGCCAAGAGGAGTATTTATCTTATACTTAAATTACAGCTGGAGAGGAGCTATTCCTCAAATCTGGTTCCACCTGAAAAGGTGAAGGCACTCCTCATTTGGACCATGTCTACCAGAATAAGCTCTAGGTCTTCTGGGCAATTGCTATACTATTGCCTGCCTCTCTTATTTCGGAATACGATGAAGACCACATATTTTAACTGGTGATGACTTCTGCTTTAACAGTGGTAATTTATAGCTGAGGAGTTTTGAATGCTCTGCTTTTTTCCACTTCCTCTAAGCTCCTTGGCCACCTTGACCGATTTGAAGAAAGACTAATGTCAGGTAGGGCCTGTCGTATTTGTATGTTTCTACCCTCTGCTGTTGCTGAAGTGCAACAGAGACCTCTAGTTCCAGCTTTTAAAATAAGACCTTTTGGCTTCTGCTTTGTGGAAGCAACGGTACCTATTCAGTGGAACTCAAGAAGGTTTACAAGCACGGAGTCATTTACTCTCCCAAGTACGAAGCAGGATTTATGTTCATTGTAGATGTGTCCATTCAGTTTGTGCTGGGAATTAGAATACAGGAAAAACTGGTAGGGGAAAAAAAGGGAAGGAACAGTCACTTCTGGCTGACTTTGGTGTGTGGAGGCAAGTCAGATTTATCACAGCACTGCATTATCAGCCAGCGGCGTGAAGCAATTAAAAAGAGAATGCAACTTCGATGTCTTCATGTCCGATTCAAGGTCCACTAATTGGACCTAACAACCGTTCTCCCTATAAGGAAACAGATGCCTTCTAAACTTAATACTAGGGGTTAAACAATAGGGCTGCAGTGATAAATTTCAGGCATAAGAACTAAGGTAGGGCAGCTTTAAGGGCCAAAGTTCAGAATTTCTTGGATGTCAGAGTACTGGATTGCTTAAATTTTATTTGATTTGTGAGTAACAAGAATTTGTTAAAGGTTTGGACTGAGAGTGGGGTTCTAAACTAAAATGGACCTCCTGACCAAGGCCACAAGAGAGAACAGACCCTCCTCAGAGCTGTTTTAAAATTAGAGGTAGGATTCTTGAATGGTGTGTACCATTCATTATACTACCTCTGAAGAGATACATTTTAAATGAACCAAAAGATAAACAACCTCAATATAAGTGAAAACATATAATAAATAAAGTAGCCTAATAAGGATTTTCCAGTCTAGCATTCATCACATCAGAGTTACAAATTACTTCTTGTAATTTAAGGTGAAGACAAATACTAAGCTAGCCTTATTTAACGGGTGGAATATTAAAAGTAAAGGGAAATATAAATTTTATCAAAGGTCGCACGGTCAGAGTCAGAATTAGGATCTCAGCTAGTAGAAGTACACCATTTCTATTTTTAACAAAAGAGATTAAAGAAAGTAGTGCAATGTACTATGGAAGTGGTACAAACCATGCTTTAAAATTCTTACCTTAGAAATGAGATATCATTCCTTCACTTTTTAGTGTATTAAAGACATTTCTGTTTCTGTGCACTAAATCATTCCAGGAACACAAAGGTAACATAATGAATTATAGGACATATTAAAAAATAAAACTTGAGGCTAACAAAAATTAATTTAAAAATAATCTTACCTTAAAGAATTACAGAATTGTTATTCTTCAGATATACAATGCATACTCAAAAAATGATGCTGATTTATTAGTTGACTGTATTCTTAAAAGTTAGTGAATATTCACTTTTATATATACAATAATCCCATTATTTAAAATACTGAATTTTGCTCAAGAACTTAAAATACATTACAGATGTTATTACATGAATTCTCACAGCAAATCCACTGGAACAAGAGGAGGGCAGTTACCATAATCTCTAAGCCTGAACCATATCACGAATTCATTTAAAGTTTAAATAAGTATTTCCTAAGAGGCTGCCATCTAGAATTCTGTCCTTTTTGCTTAAAGAAATTAAGTTATAATAATTTTCTGAGCTTAATTTCATATTTTTCAGAAAGGAGATTAGTATCTGCCTCAAGGTAAAACTAGAGCCTTATAAAACAATGTGAAAAAGGTTTCAGAATGTCTAAGAATTTGGGCGTAAACATTTAAGATCACTAGCTACAGTTACATGGGTGACCATATTTAATTTTATTCACGTATTTGGGGAGAATTTTACATATTATACATATGGCTGTATATATATTATATATATGGTGACTCAGACATTTATAAAATGACCTATATATGTACATAAAAGTTCAGGATTCCTTTTTCCATATTTAGTATAAAGATTCATTACTACAAAATTATTGGCTCCCTAGCCTGTGATTTCTGGAAAATGGGGTGTTGTTTCAGAAGTCATAAAAGTACAATGTTAAGTAGAGCACTATTCTGACAAATTTTCAAAACTTTTATGGTTAATATTTATCAGTTAAAAATAACTGTACCTAACTCCATGGCTATCCATCTTGAAAATCAGCTCCAATCACCGGATTATGACACTTACTGTTTTGTCTAGCAGTAAGTACCAATTTAGTGAATTTTTAAAGCAAAGATCATCTTTTCTTGTCATTGGGATAGTGTGGTCAAAGCAGTTAGTATCTGGCCATAATCTATAATGCTACACTATTATATTTTATTGCTAATTTGCATTATTTCCTAAATTTGTGTTAATAACCAATTTGCTCTTTTAAAGAAAACTTGTCCTGATAAGCTATTATAAGCAAATTTACTAGATTCTAGAATCTAGGGGTCAGGCTACTATTGCTGTAGTCATACTGGGTTTATGATAAGATTTCTATTTTAGAAAGCTATGTTCAGCAATTGTATAGTTAAGAATTGGCAAAAGTAAAAGTCCTGATGTATTGGATATTTGATAATATACAAATATCAAACAAATTAAGACTACATAATCAAGACATGGCTGGAATAAAAGTGAAACTCTACTTGTAGTGCATCACATATATTCCACTAGTTATACTGTTACACGACTTATCCAGGAACATCACCTCTAGGGGTATTTGTACATTTGAAAATAAAAAACATATATATATATGTAATATTTAGTTGTATATAAACAGTCATGCCCTGAATGCTGAATGTGGACACTCTTCTGGTCACAAAGCATCCTTGGGTGCATTAATGTACTGGCACATGTTTCCCAAAGGCAATTTGCATGTGCATTTGTATTTTAACTACTACCAATTGTTTAGCATCACTTTAAACCGTTTTCTCTTCAGTAAAGCTAATTATTTTAGATATTTCCCACAAGAGAAGTTCATACTTCATTGATTACAACGATACTCTCATTGCCTTGGGAGAATCCTGGGGCCTCTGGGACTCTTTGCCCCAGTAGAGCTCTACCAGGTCCTGCAAACTCAGATGGGACTTCAGTTTCAAGTCCAATGACTCTATTGAGATACAGTGACCTTTTCTGAATTTATTCTCTTCAGCTCTGGCATCTAGACTGAGATAAACTAAACAGCATTATTTCATTTTATATTATGGGGGATCTAGTGTATATTAACTAGTCATGAATACCATTTATAATAGAAATAATTCCTTTAAGTATAGACTATTTTCTAAATAATATGCATTTTAAACCATAAGGCTAAAAATATAGATGATATAAAAATCATCTCCATTATGTGAAGACAGTTGAAATATTTTGTGGATACACTTCTTGTGCTGCTACAATGATCCCAAAGCTGTTCAAAGAGGCTCTGTGCAGAAGACAGCACATTTCCTGAAAATTTACAGTGTGTTGAAACACTAAATCATAAGACATTACCTTGACACTGTGCTTTGATTCAGGTTGCTTTGAGGAGCCTAACTAGGGGAGAATTCTATTCTAACTATTGCCTATCCTAGGACAAAGAACATGAATTTGTGTTCTGGATATGAAACTCTAGAATAAAAAAAAAACCTGTACATTTCCAATCTTAACAATACAGCAGCTTGGCTGACTGTTTCATTGTGAAGAAGATTTAAAGCAATGTGTGCATAACTGCTTATTGCCAGGTATTTTCTCTTCCCTCTAAGCCCTCCCGGCTAGTGTTCCATGTGACAGCTTTGCTGAGGAGAAAAATTAGCCAGGTGCCTGATGCCTACCATGGACAAAGATGACCACAAGCATCTAACCCTGTAGGTGTGAATACTGTCCCTGTGAAAAGCTGGCAGCAACATAAAACAACATAACTTAGTTAAATGATGAGCTACATCTCTGAATATGTTTGAGGAAGAATTTATACCATCCAAAAATCCTAAAGGAAGATATTAACTGAGATGAATTTTAAAAATCCGAGTACATTAATGCCTCTAAAAGAGAGCTGTTTTCCTAATTACTAAACAATAAAGTGCATTTCCTAACAGAAATGTAAATATATAAAACCTTATTTAATATATATTATATAATACATACAATGTACATATTATATAATGTATATGTTATATATAGGTAAGACAGCTGGCAGTTATTCCCAAATCTCCTAAGTTGTTCAATGGATTTGGTTCTTAACACAAAAGATTTAACAAGTATTCTAACAATCACATCACACTTCAAAAACCATGCTGATTGTTCAGAAAATCCCCCACTTGCAAACTTAGAGGCATTTTAAAGCATCACAGGAATTTGCAAAGGCATGATACATTTGCTGACCATATCCTAATAAAAAACTGTTGAAAGCAGTAGGTTCATTTTTGTCAGTCAAATTTCTACATGTGAAAATAAATCAACTTTATGTGTCATTTTGCTGTGTTATGTGTTACAGGATAAGGCACTCTCTTAACCTGCATGGCCTTGCTTGCTGTGTACACATTCACTTAGTATCAGCCTGTCATGGCAACAAGTAAGAGTGCAAAGTATTGCTCTTCACTTTTTCCCTCAAGATGGAAAAGAAGGGAAAAAAAACATTGTATCTGCTTAAATTAGAATGGATAGCCATATATCTCTGAAATAATGAAACCATGTAGTGTTGAGCAGACTTCTGATGTCAGACTTGGAAGGTATGGACGTTATAGTTCTGTTTCTTTAAGAACCTGTATTAGGAAAGAAGGCCAATGACTACTATTTTCTCCTAATAAAGAGTAACTGACCCTTCACTAGTTAAATACTGAACTAAAGGACAGATTTACAAAACTATTTCAAGTATTCATTATCACAGTGAAAATGGGAGACCAATGCAAGAATGAAGGCTTTGAAAATTCCTTTGATGAAAAAGGCAAGGGTACTAAATCAAAACATATACAAAATGCTTCAACGCATTTCTTTATGTGGTATGAATAGAAAGGTTATCCATAAAAAGTTAGAAAAATTAAGATAAATTATATATTAGTACACCTTCCCAACCACATTTTATATAAAAATTCAGAATAGTGTACTGGTATTTCAATCTACACAATAAAAATGCCTGAACTTGGCAGATATCTTCTATCTGTGCATGTATTTTCTCAGTAGAAGGCTTATTTGTTGCAGTTACTTTTAAAAAGTTTTATTTCCATTATGAACCTTATTGAATCATCAGTAAACCCAGCTGATTGGGACCCACTGTGGCTCCATTCTCAGCTTCTCTATGGCAGTTTGTAGTTTCTCAAAGGCTTTGTCTAGATTGTCGTTTACGATGATCAAATCAAAATAGTGGTTGTATGCTCTTTGAATCCGTGCACTTTCGTCCACTGTTTTCTTCAAGTCAGAGTCCTGTCAAAGAGTGTTAAAAGGAAATGTTTCTATCATAATGTGTATTTACTTGCTCAAACACCGATTCAAAGTGAACATGAGAAATGAGCGCGTTGAGACTTTTATGGTGACTTTGATATTAATGCTCAAAATCTAATCTATATAGTGTTAAAAGAGACATTACCACCTATTCATATCCTAGTCTTTCCAGCAGTGTTCATGTTTGCTTTATAAGTATTCTGTATCTTCTGTTTCATTGATCTTAGGATAAGATTCCTAATTAAACAACTGCTAACAATAATCTCAGGGTGAAATCTAAGGTAATAAAAGAATTACTGCAGGTTTCCAGCCCAACTATATCATCCTTTTCAAATGATTTTTTTTTAATTTGCATGTATGTATTACATCCCTAGAAAAAGAATCCCAGGATTTTCCCTTCTGTGCATTTTGTCTTGCTTCTTCATGGTCCATGATACCACCTGAGGTTGTCAGTACAATGAAACCAAACTGGTGGGACAGGAGCACATTATTCTGCCATTTTTGCAGATCTTTGAGTTGTACATCAAATCTGAAGCTGATCACTCCACACTTGTTTAACCTGCTTGTGAAGTTCACAACAATTTTCCCAGCTCTGTGATTATCAATGATCTCAAATTCACCAATGTAACCATGCTTTATCATCACAGTTAGAAACTGGTTAATGACTTTGGAGCATGGCGTAATAAGAACCTGGCATTTACCTCTCCTTTCAGGAGTGTTAATGCTTTTGAGAGCATCTGCCAAGACATTCATGTGTACCATTTTGGCGGCACAGAATGTGGAAAGAGCTCAAAAGATTTTTATCTTGTGAGCTCTGAGATAATGGAAACCATTTTTGCAGCGCCTATTAAGCTCAAAGCAAAATCTGCTGCCTATCTCTAGGAAAGAGAGTATTAGAAATGTATTTTTAAGACTACCTACATGCCTCCTACCCCCACCAACACATACACACATATTTATTTCTTTAGCTAGCATTGTTTATATTTTGTACACTATTTCTAGTCATTTTGGAATGATGTAGGTAATGAATAAGTAATGGGTTCTGCATGAGCAAGTAAAGCTTTTCATTAAATTGCAACTGTTTTGAGATTTCACAGTACTTCTACATGTTCTTCAAATATTTATCGATTCCTCTTAAAGTGTCTACTATGTAATCATCTGTGGATATAACAATGAGTAAGAGTGGGTTCCTACCCTCCAGAGGAGGAGACAGACTAAGGGCAAATAAACACAAAAACTTCCAAGTTGTAATGAGTACTATAAAAGAAACCAACCAGAACAAAGAATTTTGAGAATTCTATTTTAGACAGAGTGATTACAAAGATACCGAGTAAATGACATTTAAACTGAGAACTATAGTGGGGGAAAGAGCATCCCAGGCAGAGGAAACAGGAATGCAAAATCCAGGAGGGAAATGACCCTGATATGTTTTAAGATACTGAAAGTCCAGGATGGATAGAGGGATTGAGGGCAGGGGTGATACCTTGACATATGAGTATGAGCTAGGTAGTGGAGAACTCACATGCAACAGAAAAACGTCGCTGGCTTGTGGTGGAGAAAGAAGAGATGGAAATGACGGCAGACTGGAAGTATATTTTGGTGATAAAATCATCAAGACTGGCTGATGGGCTGAATGTGAAAAGTGATGAATGAATGAATGAATGAATGGATGAATAAACCAAAACGTAGAAAGAAGCAGTTATAGAAAATGCAGAGTTGGGGAGTGGGAGTAGGGAGAGCACAATTTTGGCGGGGAGGGAGGGGAACACAATGTTCTTTGTACATGTTAAGTTTAAGATGTCTTGGGAGACATCCAAGTGCAGATGTAAGCTAAGTAGAGATGGGTTATGCAGCTCGGAGCTCTGAATTCTGGGTTATCTATACATAAACTAGGAATAATCAGTGTAACAATGGTATATAAGATAATGAGTTTGGTGAAAACACCAAAAGGGAAGTGTAGAGAAAGACATGAGTTCCAAACTAGGCCTGAGGGACACTAATACTTACATTTCAGTTAATATTTTCACTGATCTATTTGAAACAACTATCTTTTGTGATAGATGTGCAAACAGCCTCAATTCAACTTGAAAACAATTATGACCTATTACAGTCATTAACAATCTGCTTCATTTAAGAAAAAAGTGACAATGACAATCCTGTAACAATAGTGGAGTAGTACATCATTCAGATGGAAAAAAGAATAAAGAATCTCTATATATGGCCATGGAGAATATCTAAATATATTGGTAAGTGGAAAATGCAGGCAGACTACTGAATATAATAGGCTACTTTTTATGTAAGAAATGAGGGAGGGAGGGTACACATACATATTTGCTTGTATTTTTTTTTTTAAAGATTTTATTTATTTATTTGAGAGAGAGAGAATGAGCGAGAGCACGAGAGGGAAGAGGGTCAGAGGGAGAAGCAGACTCCCTGCTGAGCAGGGAGCCCAATGCGGGACTCCAGGATCATGACCTGAGCCGAAGGCAGTCGCTCAACCAACTGAGCCACCCAGGCGCCCCATATTTGCTTATATTTTAAGAAATTGTGAAAATGACGACCTACGTAGGTGGGAGTAGAGAGGACAGAGAAAAGCTAGATTTTCCTGTTAAGATTTACTTTAGAACTATGAAATGTATAGAATTATACAACAAAATTCAAATAAAAAAAGGACAATACCTAAAAATCAAAAGCAAAATGAAACAAACCTGTGTTTGAAGTTGATGGTTTAACCATGCAGAAAGGAAATATTTCAATGACTTTAAAATAAAATAATACCCAAGTGGGATATATCTTAGGAACAATTTTTTAAAAGCTTGAAACTTAAAAGTTTTCAATAATCATACTGTTGACAATATCAATATTGATATTGTTACTCAGAAATTATATACAGAGTGGGTTCTTAGTTTATATATGTAAAGTAAGAAATAATGTCATCAGGAACCAAGATTTTCAGCATAAGAAAAAAGACAAATATAGAGTCAAAGAAGTTAAGTAAAATAATGGAACGTTTAAATTGGAATTTTCAAACTGAACAAATGATGTGTGTTTTCTAAAAGAGAAAAATGTATTTCCTATATCTGGTCACCAAAAAGCCTGGAAACAATGAGCAACTAAGTTGAGCACACAACTTTAGCACCTATATTGTCTCTAAATACCATTTCCCAGTAAAAGGAACCAGTTTTTTTAGATGGCTGGCTCCAGGTCTGGGCCAAGAAATGCGTAAGAAAATCTGGAACAGTTTATCTAGCTAGGAAGAAAAGAGTCATCAAAGATTATTGGGGTTGTGCTAAAAAAAACTCAGAAGACAAGCTGAATATTCCTGTAAGCTAAACATAGGCCAATTTAAACATCAAAAAGAGTAGTAACTAAACTAAGTACACAGAGAGGAAGTATTATAAGAAACTTTAAAACACGGCAATTTGACTGCATACACTCAGTGAGATAAACCTTAAGGACAAAACAAAACAAAAACAAAAAAACAACCCACCCAAAAACTAGTTCATGGTAATCACACCTGGTAGTGTTGGTGCACTTATTCTCAGACTGTTGTATGTGTACTGTGTTTTGAGCAATTATGTGATATTCTAACATTCCCAGTGTTTTTGAGAACTGGGATACTCAGTACTCAGAATGGAGATAAAAGAGGCTAAATAAAAACCTTGTAATTCTGAATTTGAATGGGAAATAGCAGTATGAATTCATGATATGGTTTCCTTCAAACATACAACAGAAAAACATATATCCTAGCTCTGTCTACCTGAAAGGCAGAGCTAGAAACAATGATTAATCTTGTGACAATGTGCACTCCTAGTATTATGGTCTTAAAATACCATTCACTCTGAAAAGAATCGGAGCTCCTTGAAGCAACAGCTGATATCTGGCCTAGAACAGAAAATGTAGAAGAGGAGCCTGGAACATCTGTCATACCAGATAGCAAGGAAGCTGAGACTATTGGGCTCATGAAATAAGGTCTCAAGGGCCAACTTGAATAAGCTCCTATTGGTCAAAGATGGGACAATTTGAGCATCGATAAGAATGACCATATCTTTTTTTTTTTTTTTAACGTATAATGTATTATTTGTTTCAGAGGTACAGATCTGTGATTCAACAGATAGCAGGAGGGGAAGGGAAATCGGAGGGGGAGATGAACCATGAGAGATGATGGACTCTGAAAAACAAACTCAGGGTTCTAGAGGGGAGGGGGGTGTGAGGATGGGTTAGCCTGGTGATGGGTATTAAAGAGGGCACATTCTGCATGGAGCACTGGGTGTTATACGCAAATAATGAATCATGGAACACTACATCAAAAACTAATGATGGCAGCAACTTCTTCCTAGAAACATCGTCAAAGGCAAGGGAAGCAAGGGCAAAAATGAACTATTGGGATTTCATCAAGATAAAAAGCTTTTGCACAGCAAAAGAAACAGTCCACAAAACCAAAAGACAACCGACAGAATGGGAGAAAATATTTGCAAGTGACATATCAGATAAAGGGCTAGTATCCAAAATCTATAAAGAACTTATCAAACTCAACACCCAAAGAATAATCCAATCAAGAAATGGGCAGAAGACATGAACAGACATTTTTCCAAAGAAGACATCCAAATGGCCAACAGACACATGAAAAAGTGCTCAACATCGCTCGGCATCAGGGAAATCCAAATCAAAACCTCAATGAGATACCACCTCACACCAGTCAGAATGGCTACAATTAACAAGTCAGGAAACGACAGATGTTGGTGGGGATGCGGAGAAAGGGGAACCCTCCTACACTGTTGGTGGGAATGCAAGTTGGTGCAACCACTCTGGAAAACAGTATGGAGGTTCCTCAAAAAGTTGAAAATAGAGCTACCATACGATCCAGCAATTGCACTACTGGGTATTTACCACAAAGATACAAATGTAGGGATCTGAAGGGGTACGTGCACCCCAATGTTTATAGCAGCAATGTCCACAACAGCCAAACTGTGGAAAGAGCCAAGATGTCCATTGACAGATGAGTGGATAAAGAAGATGTGGTATATATACACAACGGAATATTATGCAGTCATCAAAAGGAATGAGATCTTGCCATTTGCAACGACGTGGATGGAACTGGAGGGTGTTATGCTGAGTGAAATACATCAATCAGAGAAAGACATGTATCATATGACCTCACTGATATGAGGAATTCTTAATCTCAGGAAACAAACTGAGGGTTGCTGGAGTGGTGGGGGGGTGGGAGAGATGGGGTGGCTGGGTGATAGACATTGGGGAGGGTATGTGCTATGGTGAGTGCTGTGAATTGTGCAGGACTGTTGAATCACAGATCTGTACCTCTGAACCAAATAATGCAATATATGTTAAGGAAAAAAAAAAGATGATAGCAGGAGGGGAAGAATGAAGGGGGGTAAATCGGAGGGGGAGACGAACCATGAGAGATGATGGACTCTGAGAAACGGACTGGGGGTTCTAGAGGGGAGGGGGGTGGGGGGATGGGTTAGCCTGGTGATGGGTATTAAAGAGGGCACATTCTGCATGGAGCACTGGGTGTTATGCACAAACAATGAATCATGGAACACTACATCAGAAACTAATGATGTAATGTATGGTGATTAACATAACAATAAAAATTTTAAAAAAACTAATGATGTAATGTATGGTGATTAACATAATAATAAAGAAAAAAAATAAGAATGACCGTAATAGAGTAACCACATCAAAAACTCACATCAGGTGCTCATAATGAAATTAAAAACCAAAGAAAACAAACCTTATTTGATCACCTGTTGCTTCTGGGGGCTCTCAGAACAAATCCTATTATTCTGAAAACTGACCCATCAAAAGGAAAGTATAAGCATATACCCTGACTTGCCTATATGAACTTTACTTCAGAGTAATCAATAATTGATGAAGAAAAGTTATTTCTTAGAAGAATTCTAGTTTATAAATTCAGAAAGAATGACAAACTTGAGTGTTATCATTTTACAATCCCTAAAAAATAAGTGATCCAGGCAAAGATGAATAAACTTGCCAAAATCAGTAGGTAAAAAGCTACTGGAGAACTTTACAGATCGGGCTCACAACATTTGAACCCACTGATTAATCTTATCACAAAAAAAGAGAGCCTTTCATATGCCTCATAATGTAACAAGGCAAGAAGTATCAATTATTAATTATTCTTGGGGGAAAAAAAAGTAAACCTATTATCTGTTCAAGCGTCTATCAGTTCACAGGGAATAGAGGGAAATGACACAATGGGGACAAAATTGGCAAAATCTAGACTGTGAAGTGTTCTATAGGATAACTGACCCAACTTTGTTTTTTTGTTTTGTTTTGTTTTTTTGTTAGAGCAGGAGCTTGTTCTCACGACCCTGAGATCATGATCTGAGCTCAAATCAAGAGTTGAATGCTTAACCAACTGAGCCACCCAGGCGCCCTAACCCATTTTTTTGAACAACTAAATTATAAGGTTACAAGACAGGGGAGGTGGGGAGTGAGAATTTACAGATTAGAACAAGTAAAGGGATGTCTGCTTCCAGCTAAGACGTAGTAACAGATATCAGACTAACCCTCCTGACAGTGAAAACAGACAAAATGTACGGAACAGTTTTTAAGACCTTGTGCACTGTGCACGAGGCAACAAAAGACTGATACCTCAGAGAAACAGGAAACGAAGTGAACCCTACAACTACCCCAGCTTATTGTCTTGAAAGACCTTCTAGGCTGCAGTACACAAGGTGGAGTCCAGAAGGAGCCTACCCAACATTCCAAGTTGGCGTATACATGCCCAGACTTAGCAAGTTGTACACTTTCGGTATGTACAGTTTATTATATGTCAATTATCCTCAAGCTGGGGGGAAAAAAGAAATTTAGAAGATATCAAGTAAATGCAACATGTTGGTCTTGTATGGATCTGATTAAAACAAATCAGCTGTAAAAAAAAATTCTAAATCTTGGAGAAATTCAAATATGGATGGTATACTGATGATATTAAGAAGTTGCTCTTGTTAATTTTTTTGTGTTAATGGTGTTATGTTTAGAAAGTCTTTATCTTTTAGAGATAGATAATGAAGTATTATGGTTGACATATCAATGATTAGCTTTAAAATAATTCAGGTTAGGGAGGAAGTGAAGAGAGGGCTAATTGAAACAGAAATGGCCACACATTACTGAACCTAGGTGATAGGAATATGGGAGTTCATTTTTTTCCTCTTGTATGTACTTTAAATTTCCCATAATATGAAGAGAGAGAGAGGAAGAACAAGAGAAAACATGTAACAGAAACTAAAAGAACTAACTACCAGTAGTAAACCTTATGATGAATATGCTTCTTAATGGTCTTGGAGCCCAATTTCCTCACTGATAAAATAAGAGTTGGATTAGTATGTGTATTTTAATACTGCTCCATTTCATTTATATAGAGGGAATAAACTTGTGTGTGTGTTTTTTAAGATATTTATTTATTTATTTGAGAGAGCTAGAGGGAGAGGGAGGGAGGGAGGGAGGAAGGGAGGGAGGGAGAGCATTCCCTGCTGAGCACAGACCCTGACGCAGCACTTGATCCCAGGACCCTGAGAATATGACCTGAGCCAAAGGCAGATGCTTAACTGAATGAACCACCCAGGCGTCCCTAAACTCGTGTTTTAAAACAAAGTAAACAATGATTTTTAAGTAAAAGTCATACTGTTCCAAATCCTAGCTATATCCCATGAATGAATTTTTATTCTGTAATGCAACATATAGTGTATTTATTTCATAAATATGATTAGAATTAAACATGCCCAAAAGAAAAAAGAAAAAAAAATCTTAGGAGTAAAATAACATTGTTAGCCTGAAAAGAACTGCTCACCGTCAAAAGCTTAGTAGTGATACCAGCATCCACCACCGCCTTGTGCATGGCACGTAACGTCTCTAGTTCTGGAGCAGCAATAAATACAACATAGGGCATGAACTCAGAAGTCCTCAGCACTTTCAGGGCCTGTGTAGAAGAACAATTATAAAACAATTTATATGGGATTAGAATTTGAATTATGTTACCCTTTAATTTATAATAAATTCTAACTAATCAAAATCTATCTGCCCTCTCACTAAGGATGAAGGATGTAATTTAATACTTGCCCGCCTTCTATCCTTTTGATTCCATACAGTACTTTTCTTTTTTTTAAAGATTTTATTTGCCAGAGAGAGAGTGAGAGACAGAAAGAGAGAGCACAAGCAGGGGGAGCAGCAGGGAGAGGGAGAGGGAGAGGGAGAAGCAGGTCCCCCGCGAAGCAGGGAGCCCGATGCCGGACTCAATCCCAGGACCCTGGGATCATGACCTGAGCTGAAGGCAGACGCTTAATGACTGAGCCACCCAGGCGTCCCCATACAGTACTTTTCTAAAATAGTGATCCATCAAATGTGTTCTGACCTCAGTCATACTACTCTTTAATCCTCTTGAACAAAGGAAAGTATTGAACTTAAAGATCCAAAAATTATCAAGAATGACGTGAATGCTTTCTATGTTACTTGTAGAATTCTGTTAATATTGAAAAAGCAGAAATAATCTCAGTGTCTACTGAGAGTGGTTATATAAATTAATATACATTTGTACTGTGAAACACTGAATATTCAGTAATTACAAAGAACTAAAAAAGCTCTACAGTAACTGACATGAAAAGATCTTCAAGATACACTGTTTAATGGAAAAAAGCTAAAGAATCTATATAATACAGAATTTTCCTATTTATGTAAAAAAGAAAAATAGGAAACCCATAAAAAATCTAATAAAATTATATAGATATATATCTGTATTAAGGCATAGTAAAATGACAAAGATATATACCAAACTATTAATAATTATCTCTGAGTAGGGAGGTTAAGTTGGGTTGAGTGTGGAGGGGTGAGAAAGGGTCAGTGAGAGAGAGCGAGTAAGAGTGAAGAGAATGGGGTGTGTGTGTGTGTGTGGCACTGGTTGGGAAGGGGTGTGACTTTCTTTATTCTTTATGTTGTAGCTTTGCTAAAATTTTAAAATCAACATTTCCTAACACATGCATTTATATGTTACTTGAACAAGTAAATACTAAACTTTTATCAAGTTCTATTCCTATCCAAACCTCTATTGGTTAATTATTTTTTTAAAGTTTTTATTTATTTATTTATGTGAAAGAGACAGAGAGAGACAGTAAGAGAGGGAACACAGGCAGAGGGAGTAGGAGAGGGAGAAGCAGGCCTCCCGCAGAGGAGGGAGCCTGATGCGGGGCTCCATTCCAGGACCCTGGGATCATGACCTGAGCCACCTAGGTGCCCCCTGTTGGATAATTATTGATGAGATTTATTTAACTTGCTGTGGATGAATAAGGTTCTCTATCACCAATAGGTAATAGAAAGAGGCATCCTCACAATCTGAAAATAAAACCAAACAAAACCTTCACAGGAATTATGATTTTAAAAACAGCTTTGGAATCCATGCAGCTTACTTGTGGGTTGACATCCAAAATACAAGTTCGTCCAGTTTGGACAACTTCAAGAATAGAATCGATTTTGGTTCCATAGAGATTTCCTTCATATTCCCCATGTTCCAAATATTTTCCAGCTTTAATATCTGCTTCCATCTCAGACCGTGACACAAATTTATATACTTGACCATCTTTTTCATCTTCCCTTGGTTTCCGTGAAGTAACTAAAATAATGTTGAGAATTTATACAAAGAGAACACAGGGTATTAAAATTGAGACTAAAATGCACAGGGTAGCTTTAAGATTTTTCCATTTAGTTTGGGGTTGGCAAATTATGACCTATGGCCAAATCTGGTCTGCTTCTTATTTTTGTAAATAAAGTATTATTAGACCAGAGCTATGGCACATTTGTTTTATTACCTACGGTTTCATTCGTTTTACAATGGTGTAGTAGTTGTGACACAGACCAGATGACCCACAAAGCCTAAAATATTTACTCTGTGGCCCTTGAATTAAAAAGTTTGCTGACCCCTGACCTATAGGAAATGTTTTAAGAGGTAGTCCCCAATACACAATTTATATTAAAAAAAATGTGCTTTATAAAGTCAGCTTGAAACTTGAACATATATTTACATAGAAACAGTCCTAAATTTAGATTCTTAACTATGAGTCCTACTAAGCATGGGATATACTGTAAGTGAATATCTTTTCCAGCTGCCACCCGCATTCCCCCTAAGGAATTTACACTTGAACACTTCCTAACTGAACACCCAAAAAATGAGCAAAATTCTGTTTGTAGTTGGTATTATCAATCTTCTGAAGCATAGTTTTACCCACCAATTATCTATCCCTTTCTCCTCACCCTAACACCAAACCTTCTTCTAACCTCTTGCTTATTGATATTCTGAAATGTTAACTGTTCTGTTCTGCAACTTGGTGGTGGATCTAGCCACACTTCACGTTATTATGTTCTATTAACTTCCTCTACTCTAAAGTATTTTTTTTCTAAGAGAATAACAGTATACAGACCAAGTCAAAATTTAAAAGATCATTTTTGCCTGATAGTTTAGTTCTGAGTACTTCCAGAGATATACAACTTCTTTGCAACTTGGGCTAGCATAGGAAAGAAAATTCTCTTTCAAACTGTTGCAAAGATGTAGTTAGGTACTCTCTACAAATTTGTTAACACTGGTTTGGAAGAAGAAAAGTAATTTGTGTGTGTGTATGCTATTTTACAGTTTAGCCTTAACCATTTTGGCTAGATCAGATATAAAATCAAATACTTATACATGTAGAATATCTGATGAAATCATTAAGCACATGCAATTAGGAAGTAATCCAGATCAAAAGTTGACAATATTTTGACTATGCGTAATAAGCATAGCACATCAAGAAAACTTAAGAACAGAATGAACTTGAAATTCAAGCTCAATAATAAGAGTCTAATTCATAAATGAGATCTTTAGGCACAACAGGACTCCCTTTCTTCCCCTGTTGTTTTGTGGCTCAGCCTTTAGGGTGATCATCCCAGACAACTGTGGAGATCATATATAAAGTAACTAAAGACATTCAAGATGCTATGATGCATTTTCATATTCAAAAATGTGAGATGTCCAGGGTTTCTGGATTTATTCACCAAAGGTGGTATGATAAAATGTCTAAGGCAATTTTAAACTCCCCAAATAAATACATACTAGGACTTGGCTCAATATCTGTGAATATAATTTTAAAAGAGTACAGTTTTTTGGTGAAGCTCTATAGTGAAATCATATATGGGAATGTGTTGCTTGAAATAAATATGTGTAGGTACACATATTGCCCCCATCCCCACCTCCATGTTGAGGGAATCTTAATTTTTGGCAAAATGTTTTTAGTTTACAAGTGAAAAATTTTAAGATTTTATTTATCTATTTAGAGAGATAGAAAGAGTGAGCATGAATATGAATGGTGTGGGGAGAGGGAGAGAGAAGCTCAAGCAGACTCTGTGCTGAGTGCAGAGCCTGACACAGGACTAGATCCCACAACTTGAGCTGGGATCATGACCTGAGTGAAATTAAGAGTCGGATGCTTAACTGACTGAGCCACCCAGATACCCCTAGTTTACAAGTGAATTTTAACTACAATTTCATTCTCTAATGAAAACTCAAACAAAGCAAGGCAAAACAAAAATCAAAACCCAAAAACTATATTGCCACATATTTAAGACCCTTTCCATTCTTAGGACAGAGAAATTAGAATAGGGTAGCTTCACTACAACTCATTTCTTAGGTTTATATGCTAAGCAAATAATGTGATTTCTTAGATTTAATCATTATGGCAAAATTCTAAATTGTTATAGCTCTTCAAATTATAAGGAAACAACAAAGTAACTTTTTTATTAATTAAACTCAAGACATCAATGTTAAAAAGCAAACTTGATTCATAAGGTAGCCTATCCCCCTGGATTAATAATTTTTTCTATTTTAGGATCATTTAATAATATACAAAGGAAAATCTATTTAAGATTTGATTTATTTGAAAGAGAGAAAGAGCAGAGAGAGCACAAGCAGGGGAGAGGGGCAAAGAGAAAGGGAGAAGCAGGCTCCCCACTAAGCAGGGAGCCAGACATGGGGCTGGATCCCAGGACCCCGGGACCATGACCCAAGCTGAAGGCAGACACTTAACTGACTGAGCCACCCAGGAGACACAAGAAAAATCCATTTAATACAATGCCAGCATTTACCTCTTCCTTATGAGACTGACTTCCTTATTCATATCACCTGACAATATGCAGCACACTACTATGTACCAGGAATTAGGCAAACCTGTCACACTTTTGCAGTGTTTCTTTTTTGTGTTGATTCTGTGACTTAAAAAAAAAAAAAAGCTAGATGCTACATAAATGTGAATGATTTAAAGAGAAGTAAAACACACCTACATTATATGAAGAAGTGAGAGTTACCCTGATGTATGGATATACCTAAATCTTTCTATATAAAAATTCAGATTTGAATCCTCACTAAAATATTTATTTACTGCTGAAAGGCAAAACAGCATATCTTTCTAGAAATTAATGTGGCACTAAGAAATCAAGAAACTGAGACATCTATATATATTTTTTGATCTAATAATTTTATATTTGAGATTTATATATACACACTTTATCATCTCTGATAACAAACATAACTATCCAAATCATATAAATAGGCAATAACACTATACTTATATGCCAGAATATTAAGAAGTTATTTTTTTAGGTTTATCATGGTAAAATATATATAACATAAAATTGATCATTTTAACCATTTTTAAGTACGCAGTTCAGTGGCATTAAGTACGTTCATATTGTTGTGCAACATCACCACTATCCATTTCCAGACCTTTTCATCATCCCAAACTGAAACTCTGTGTCCATTAAACACTAACTTCCCATTACACTCTCTCCTAGGCCCTGGTAACCACTACTGCACTTTCTGTCTCTCTGAATTTTATTATTCTAGGTACCTCATATAAATGGAATTGTACAATATCTGTCCTTTTGTGTCTAGCTTATTTCATTCAGCATAATGTTTTCAAGGTTCATCCATATTATAGCATGGATCAGAATTTCATTATTTTTTAAGGTTGAATAATATTCCACTGCCTGTACATACAACTTAGTTTACCCATTTATGCAATGATGGACATGTGAACTATTTCTATCTTTTTGGCTATTGTAAATAATGCTATGAATATTCATGTACAAATATCTCAGTCCCTGCTTTCAATTCTTTTGGGTATATACCTATAAGTTGAATTGCTAGATCATATGTAATGCTATGTTTATTTTTCTGAGGAACTGCTATACTGTTTTCCATAGAAGTATACCATTTTATATTCCCATCAGTAATATACAAGTGTTCTACTATCTCTACATCTTTGCCAGTACTTGTTATCATCTATTTTTTTAAATGTATAATCTCGGGGCACCTGGGTGGCTCAGTCGTTAAGCGTCTGCCTTCGGCTCAGGTAATGACCCCAGGGTCCTGGGATCGAGCCCCGCATTGGGCTCCCTGCTCCACGGGGAGCCTGCTTCTCCCTCTCCCACTTACCCTGCTTGTTTTCCCTCTCTCGCAGTCTCTGTGTCAAATAAATAAATAAAAAATCTTAAAAAAAAAATAAGTGTATAATCTCCTAATGGGTATAGAGTGGTATATCACGGGGTTTTGATTTGCATTTCCCTAATGATTAGTGATGTTCAGCATCTTTTTATCTGCTTATCGGTCATTTGCAGATCTTCTTTGGAGAAATGTCTATTCAAGTTCTTTGCCCATTTCTGAATTGGGTTGTTTTATTGTTGTTGTAGGATTAATATTTACATAAAACATATGACAATGACTTGTGAGGAAAAAGCTCATGATATAATGTTCATTTTATTCATCAGATATTTCTTGGGTATATCCTATGTGCCAGACCCTGTTCTAGATTCTGGGTCTACAGAAGTACAAAAGACAGAGCAGCTCTCTGTTCTCGTGGGACATATTCTTGAATGTGGAAATAGGTGAGTAGTCAAATAAAAAATAAGAATTTAAGTGCTAAAACATAACCACTAGGTACTGGGAAGGCTACTTTAGATGGAATGGTCAATAAAGGCCTCTGAGAAGGTGAGAGCTGAATAAAAAGAAAAATTCAAGCATCTGAAGATCTGGAAGACAGAGTGTTCCACACTGAGGGACCAATAAGAACAAAAAGGTGTGAAGGATAAATTTGAGGAATCTGAAGAAAAGAAAGACCAGTGTGTTAAGTAGGAGAAAAACTATGGAAATTTTTATATGAATAATATGGTCATAATTCTGTAATTACAAGTTATTTTAATTGTGTTCCTTGTATTTATAAACAGAACACTGAATAAGGTTTTTTTTTTTTTTTCTTTTTGCAGTCTCACAGTATCCCTCAAGTCCCAAGTGGAAGCTAAAATGCCAAGGATTTATAGCCTCCTCTTTCAGAGTTTACTAAAAAGTGGCCAACTTGGTCCTAGGATCATCCGTCCACCTACCTCTATCTTATATATACTTGGAAAGGAGTCACTGAGGTTATGAATTGTAGGTTCAGGGCAGAATGCTTTATTTTCTTTTCCTTTACCCCATGGTAAAATGATTCTCCCTGATGAATTCTGAAAACCCATGATGACATATTGTAGCAGTGGGGTGATTTGTACTCCCACTGTTTGGCAAAACAAGAATGAGTTTCCTGTGGGGTGTGTGTG